TTCAAATCTCCTTTAATGCAACATTATGGCTGAGAATTTCAAAGCTGTAAAAGTAGGAAACTCTGAAGTACAGGTTCTACATTATGCACATGGATTGTATAGAAGAAAGGAGGCAAATCACCACTGCAGAAACCCAAAGCACTATTGACTTTTGCAACACTTTTAGGGTTGGTTGGGACCCAGGGGCAGTTGGTCAGATAAAAATACCTACTTGCTCCATGCTGCAACTCTCACTGCACTAGAAAACTTTCAGAAGTTGTGACCCTGTGAGATCACTCTCCTTCTCTTACCTAGGGACCTAAAAAATTCTTTGTTTGGACCTGAAAAATTCTTGCCCTCTAGCTGACAGAGAAATTGAAGCAAGGTCTTTATTTCAAGCCACTGTCTATATCCTTCCTCATAAGAATCACAGTTATGACAACTGGGACTGCTGACTGACATTTAAACTGGGACTGCTTTTAAGATCAGGATTTGGGATGCTACAACCCAGGAGATAGATCCCTTTCATTCTTGCATGACAAAGGATAGATTTAAACAGACGGCTCAGTGCTTTGTTCTGCCAGCACCTGCACTGGCGCTCTCAGCCATCACAACATCTGGAACCCAAAACCTGGAGGTAGAAAAGGGAAAAGAGACAGGAGCCTCATATGTTATGAAAATACTCTGTAGTTCTGCAGGGTCTCCAGATGACCTTCAGGGAATTTCACACACGTGGGCTGTAGGTTTGTCTTGCACATTGCACTGAGATACCAAAAACTGCCCACCACTGCAGACAGGCTCTAAAGAATTGAATATTCCTGCATTGGCATGTTCTCAGTTGAGGACCAGAAGTTTCTCAAAACTTCCAAAAATCCTTCTGCCCCTTGAATATAACACGGAATGGCTGCACAGGAAGAATGCAATTGACTAAACAAGATCTGTAATGGCCATTATGGAAGGTCTTCAATAGCTTCTTCTCCTCTTTACTATCTTAAGAGCCCCGGATTTCCATCAGAATAATCTCTTCTCCTCTCCCTTACCAGTCATACCTCAAGGTCCTGTCTTCATGAATGCCACGAAGTCACAGGAGCAGGACTTCAGATACTCCCCACCCCCTTGTCACTCCTTGCCATACAGTCTCTCTAGCAACTATTATGGCTTTGGAATAAAACCCAAGATTGGCACCTGCTCTCAAACAAAAACATGAGCTGGAGATGGGCCAGGCACACCAGCTTGTCCTGTTTTATTAGAGCCTAGACTAGAAAGGAGCAATAGTCTCTAGTTGTCTCTGGATGGCAGTAAGGACAGAGAGAGGTGACAAGGCTTATCTGAAGGTGAAATTCAATCCCATTCTCTCATGACATATGAGCACAAAATCTTAAATAAGGCACTAGGGAATAAATTTGCCAGTTCCCCTTCAGGTAAAGCTACATCATCTCTACAAGCTCTAGTGCGAGTTCTCTCTGTGCTGTGATCCTTCAGCGAACAAACCCACCCCCCACTCCAAATGTCATGATATGATGACTGCAAACCCATCATCAAGATTTTAAATAGTAACCACAACAGCCTCCAAAACAGAGGACTATAACATAAGCTAGATCCAAAAGTGTCCTTTGTGACAACTGTGCAGAATTTCATCGTGACAAGTACCTGCTCCAAAGATTCAAAGAAACAGCAACATGCTTTTCATGAGTCAATGTTGAGCTGGCAAAGTATTAGAGCTCTGAATATTACCAGAGGCTGAAGCATGGTGTGGACCAGAGGACTGATTCAAGCTGGTGGTGTCAGGGTATCAACTCTGTATCGGTTCTTTGTCTTACCTGGCAAGATGCACAGGTAGGAAAAGGTGAGCAACAAGTATTTTAAGTAGCTGTGACAGGCTAAAGAACAAATACAAAGGCCCATTTTACCTTTGCTGGTTTATGACTGTCTTTTCACATGGGTCATCATTTACAAACTACTTCTTACAAAGCACCTCCCAAACCAGAAATATTTCTCTGGGCCCTTTTACAGCAGGACTGACAGCAAGTGCTCCAAAGATAATCTTCAGCAAACTTAGTTATTGGAGCGGTGTAACCTGTTGTAAGTTCACATATGCAACACAGCACAATGAAGGTACTCTCCACTCCAGCCTTTCAAAAGGCAATTGAAACAGGTCTCTCCAGTAACTACACCAGCACAAGACTGATTCCAACAGCTTCTCAGACCCCCCACAAGACTACTGCAGTCAGAGCAGCTCATTGGAAAATCAATGCTACAACAAAGCAGCATCACGGGCTCAGCCTTGAACCAAGCTGTGAGAGCACCAGAGTCCTCCACAGCATCAAAGAACTCAAGTCATCTCTCATGGATTGCTGCACTTTGTTTTTCTTAAAGCCCTAGCTCTTGGAGGCCAGTGATGACTTAAAACAACAAAACAAACCCAAATCTCAGTTCCTACTTTTCTGAATTCAGAGAGTGACTTTTAAAATACACTCAGAACTCCATTTAAAGTCTTTGACTTCTACTTCCCAAAACACTGCACGTCTCATATACTCTTTTTTTTTTCCCCTACATGTGTAGAGACAACTGTCTAGCTATATATCTGTTTCTAACTATAGATGCAGCTACATAATGGTTTTAAACTCCATCGTTTGTTTTTTTTTCTGCCCCCAAGAATGACAGAAAATTGACTTGGGATGTTTTAGATGCCTCAGATTAGTAATGCTACAATCAGAATAGCACAGAGCACTCTTGAACAGCTATTGCTAATACTTGCAGATGCCATGAGCCCTTCACATTCAAGAACACTGGATTTACATCCAAACATAAGGGAAAAATAAAACCAACTTGATTCACGTGCTCTTACATCAAAAGAGCAAGGGGTATTTTTAGAGCAACAGCTTAGCATTCATAGCACGCATGGCGTTCTTGTTTAATCAAGAGATCCGCACGAACATAATAAACCTGTAATTTTATTGGCCAAGCACTATGGAAACAATTTAGAATGCATGGATTGCAATGTTAAGCGAACTGCGGCCCATGCAGAACACCCATGAATTATAGCAGTTTGGCAACGAGCTGACCAGTTGCTTCTCACGGCCTTTAATAACAATCATCCACATCTTCACAGCACAATAGAAATTAGAGATGCAAGAGGCCTATTAGCTCATCCAGAAAATACAGGATTGTTCCCTATGGGATAATTGCTAATACTCTGTCCAAAGTAGATTTAAAGCTGTAAAGCAAGGTAGCCTCTTTAGCAAGATTACTCAGAGTGGTTGAGAACTCAGTTCCATAAAGCTTTTTCTAGACATTAAATGTAAATGTTTCCTCTCTTTAAAAAGGTTAAAGCTAGACCAAGGAGCCTGGTGTCCTTTGTATTCCCCTCTAGTCAGTCAAGAGAGAGGAGAGTTGGTCCCTTTTTGCCACAAAGCAGCAGCATACGCAGACTGACCTTCTTTGGCTAACAGCCTTCACAAACAGTTCTCCTCTCCACCTAGCTAGTCCTTGCCCAGGTCTTGTCCATGACAGTACCCTCGGCACAACCTCTTCCTTTTGCTCACTATACAGATATATAGACTCATGCCCTCCTTTCCACCTCAGAAGTCCTTTGACCATATATGCATACATGGATTTCACTCTAAATATTCATTCAGTAAATCAGATCTTCCAACTCACTGAGCACTCCCATCATGTGTCTGCACTATGTCCACTTCAGCCATACCTCAATGGGGACACGTGGCAACTCCATCAGCCCAAGGACTTGCAGCTCTAGTGCAAGGGACAGTATCTCATTGTGTCCTCTACTAGTACAGGGGCTCTGGCACAAGGCTGTGTCTAGTTAAATGACCTCACTGCAAATGGTGTTAGTCATGGCTCCAAATACCAAGCTGATTTTCACTGCTCAGTACTGCATCAGCCCCTTGGATAGTCCAGAATTAATATAGAATTAATACACGTAACAAGAACTTGGATGTGCCTGGGAGGGAGAAGGGTGTTAGGAGATTTGCAGACATAGGAATCATAACAAGTATACCACAATCCAGGATAAATCCAAATTCTTAACAGGTCTCACAGGCCAGCACCCAACATAACAGCTACTGGGTACTTTGTGCCCAGGACAGCCAGTAATACCATCATGAGAAATTTATGAGTAAGGGTGGAAACAGCAACATTTAGCACTAATTAAACTTCAGCAGATCCAAAATGCTTAAACCAAAACTCTTCTGCCTGTACATGTTAGGTCAGCAAATACTATCATCTGCTTTTAAAAAAACAAAAGATGAGAAGGCGAAATGATTTTCCACATGACAAGATGGAGCTGGAACTCGGGAGAAGGTGCCCCTTAACCCCAAGCATTCCATGAGAAGCCCTTTCAAACTGTAACAAGTTATCAGCACACAGGTAACGACCCCAGTAACAGCTTTGAGAAGTTTTCCAAGCCAGGGACAAAGGAAAAGAGCACAAGGGTACACAAAAAAAAAAATTTTAAAAAAATTAAAAAATCAAGGTTCTTCGGTTTTCCATCTCTATTTCCCTGAGAGGAGTTTCTTCTGAATTCACTTCTACCACTCTTTCAAACTTCTAATAAAAACTAACATGCCCATGACTGAGAAACCTTCTGGGATTTCCAGCCACTTGATCCCCACTCTTACACACACTACAAAATTCCCTGCTATTAACTGAACTGTTCCTAATGTTGGTCATATTCTTCCTGTTCAGTATAAGCATTGAATGAGTGCCCTAACCACTTCACTAAAATAAACCCTGATCTCTACTCTCTTTGACATCCAGACACATTTGCAAGCAGGATTTTAACCAGTCACCTGCTTGTGCTCACCCCTGAGCTCGTTACACTATTAGAGGAAGGCAGGACTAGAAGGGACAACATTTTGTCCAGAGCAATCCACAGAAATTCATGTGTACCCACCCTACAAATCCCAAGACACTTCTCAGCTCCTCTCAAACTTCAGACCTTCACTGCAAAAGCCAAAACAAAACCAACAAACAAAATCCCACAAAGAAACCTTGTAATGTACCACTGGAGGACAGGAAAAGAAGAGTCAAGGGCACTGCCACTGTCCTCCATCCTTGCAATAACGAGGAATCTGAGAAATGCAGAGATGATTGTCTGAAGTGGACCACAGAGAGCAGTAAACCATGTCAGATACACGGCACATCTCTGCTCCCTAGCTGAATGAGGAGACACTTTTTAAACATTTGGCTATTTTAACACGCTTTCCAAAACACATTTTCACAGTAAGAATTGTCAAGTGTCTGGCTTGTATTAGCATGGTCAAGTAGAGATCAGGGCACCCAAAGAAATAAGATGTATAAAGAACAAGAGCAGAACTAACAGTTCTCTATTATAGACCTCCCCTGTTCCACTCAGAAAGTGACCATATTACAGTGAAGAGTGATGCTTATATATCTAACACTGTGCTATAAAATCCTTCAGGATGAAAATTGCAAAGATGCAGTGATTGATTATTTCTGCCACAAGAAAAAAAACACATAGTTTGAGGATGTAAGAGAAAGTTCTTTTTAACCTGAAGAATTACCTTCCTTTTGGGAAAGACGAACCACCCATAATGACAGAGGAAAATCTTTGGAAGTAGTAGCAGAAAAAGACATTAGAAGTGGCAATCACCATGTCAGACACACTACACTGCAGGGAAAGGGAAGAATGGCCAGATAATGAAATTACAGAGCATTGAAAATGTCAAAGAGCGACAGTGCTCTACCATCATTCACAGGTTATATGAGGCATTAACATGCTGATATCCCATTCCAATGACAAAGATGGCAACAAGAACAGTAAATAGTCCAAAATGAATCTGTTGCTGAGACTAGGAATTTAATGAAACAGGGAGACGGGCAGAAAATGAATCTTACTTTCACTGTGCAGCCTTCAAACTGGAAGCTGCTGGCCCTGTTCAGAATTAGTAACAGCTCAAGCATGCATTACTTAACTTCCCTTATCTATGATCCCCCTATACTTATGAGTCATCATCACAAAAAGGGGTATCAAGTCTCACTAACAAGCACCAACCTTGTTGGCAGGCAATGACCCACAAGCTGCACCAAGGGAATCTCCAGTGAGGTACAAAGGAAGGGGGAAAAAAGTCCTTCAAAAGTGATCAACTGCTATATCAAGAGCCCAGGGAAGTTGAGGGATCTCTGCTCTTGGAGGTATTAAGAACTTGAGTGGACAAGGCTCTGAGCAACTTGATCTAACATCACAGCTTGATCCAGTTTTGAAGCTGATCTGAGCAGGAGCTGGACCAGAAGACGTGCAGAGACCTCCCCCCCCCCCCCCCCCAAAAAAAATCTAAATCACTGTACAATTTGATGATTCTTCTCCCTTCAAATAGAAACATCATTGATCAATGAGTAGCACAAGCTATCATGCAGCAGTAAAGCCAGAAGACCCTGTGTCTATCATGCAATGCACTTTTCTAACTTGCTTAAGATAGTTGATCACTACCAAAAAAAAAAAAAAAATAAAAATAATCCTTTACCACCATTGCTCCTATAAAAAACAAAAAAAAAAAAAAGACAAGGTAAGGTGAGTGAAAATGTACAGTCTGTTTATGGAAACTCACTTCTGGAGACAGTCTAGTGGGTTGTAACACAGCTTGGGACAAACGCAAATGAACTGTCAGATCCCAGACAGCTCCACATGGAGCCAACACGTATATCTCTACATGTCCTCTCCAGATATGACAACCCAGCAGGCAGGGCAGGGCAGCACCATCCCAGCAGGACCACACAAAGCAGCCAAGGTTATGCTAGGACCATTTCCTATGCAGTTAGACTGCAGCAGAAATTCTGCACTGTACCCAAACCTTCCAAATTCTGAGGTACTTCCTAAGTCTGGTACAGAAATGGTCCTGTTTTCAGCCCAACCTAATAAACTCTCCTTTTGGAGGGCTTGGAACAAGATGGCTTCAAAGGTCTGATAAGGTCAGAGCTAAAGAGCAGTCGATAAGGCTATCTGGCCTTCACATTGGTTTCTTACAGAGCTTGGATTTTCTGTTTCAAAATTGTATTTCAGAACCAACTTCACCTAAATTTAATCAGGAACATGTCTTTGAAATATAAAGAGCAAAATGAACAAAACCCCCATTCACTTAATTTAATCTGGAAAACATAAATAAAGTAGTTTCGTCATTCCATCAAGCAGATGCAAATTTAATTTCAGATCATTCAATTTTTTTTCTGTAAACAAACAAAAAGATTAAGCATGGGAAAAGAAACCCTTGGAAACACTACCTCTTATCACATATTGTATGTGCCTCCTTTTCCCTACTGGCCCATATCACATTTAATACTCTAGTTTTCAAAGGCTGCTGGAATTCAATCTGCTAAAGGTGTGCAATAAATGAGGCTTTGCAAAGTGCATATGTTCAGTAAACACGAGTTTCTGGACATCGGTGCACAGGGGTGATTCACTGAGAGATGTGCATAAGACAAAAGACCCATCCCTACCGATTTCAGGAAGGACAAGTTTTCACCACAGTTTATTGGCAGCCAACAGGCCAGCCAACAAACTTAACCAGCCCGTGAATCAAAAAATCTTTCCACCCACAAAACCATCACTCCTCCCCTGCTGCACAAGTGGATTTTGCATCATGCCTAGAAAGTAAAGTTTGCCTGTTGCCCAGTTAAGGTGTGGATAAGATCTATCACCTAAGGGCACTCTTAAATACAACCATCTTGTTCATTACAAGGATATAATATTCTTCTCTCTCCACTGAGCACTAGCTGTGGATCACATGGCAAGAGGTAGCCTTAGAGGTACGTAGATGAACGTCCAACTGTTGCAAGCAAGCTTCATGGTCAATGCCTTAAGCAGATGTATGGATAGACAGCACAGACCTTGGCAATGTCTTTGTGACTCAAAGCCCATCTGCCATAGCGGCAGAACAAATGAACAATAGCCAGCTTTGAACTGCAGCCTACATTCCTAATTATACCTGAAGTGTCTCCTGGCAACATCCAGGACTGGCTGAGATAGCACTTACCTGTCAAAACACATCAGAAACAGCAAACTCCATCTTTTGAATTTAGAAACAGTTTCACACTCCACCTATTGCAATTCACTGCCCCCTCTACAGGAGTCACTTCTGAGATCTGGGCAGCACACAGATTTGTCTCTCTGCTTTGCATTTATAGAGCCCATGAAGTGACCGCCCAATGTGAGCACTACTTCAGAAGAGGAACCTGTGTTGAGATTGAACAAGATAAGTGAGTCTGCTTTAAAGTCAGATCACGTTTGCTTTGCCACTATGTACTATGCCACTATGTCATCTAGATGCTGCACAACTCAAGATTACTCGGGGGCTACCCTGTAAGGAATGTAGCACATAGAGATGCAGAGCCTGGACACTTCAAACATGCATAAAGACAACACAGTGCATTGACAATTTCAAGTTGTTTCTAAAAGTTGTCATCAGATGGGGAATGTGAAGTCCCCTCTGTCTTGCCCATGTCTGATTTCTTACACAGTTCTTGATCATCTTCCAAACGAGCCTCTGAGGTGCAGCATCAGCCTCCTGCTAGCTAGTAGTACTGCTATCCTGCACAAAGCTGTTGGATGCCCAGCCCACAGAGGCTGTAGTGGCTGGCTGACTTCAAATGAACATCAGAGAGCAATAACGCAACCTGGACAGCGTGCAAGTACAGCCTTAGATGGAGGGGATGTGGCAGAGAACACCAAAAATAAGTAGAACTCACAAAGAAAGGGAAATTTCACAGTGTACTGCCACTGTTCCAGCTTCATTACATTTGAATGTCAGGAATGAGGCTTTGGCAACAGGCACCTGAGCAAAACTGAGCCTAGCAGCTTAGAGAGCTACCTCCAACAGCTATACGCTGTTACAGTTCAGAGATGTTAAGTGCCTTTTGCTTGCCCCAGCTGCAAGGTAGTAAAATGAGTTAACCTTCTTCACTAAGCCCGGACTAGGATACTACTCTTCCAACAAAGTGGAAATACAAGCAAATCCAGTGGACATCGAGGAATTACCCTCCTCTGAACAGAAGCAAGCACCACAGGGAAGGCAGAAAGGAAAGCCCCATCTGACTCCATCTCTGAGCTGTGCTCCACTAAGATCAGCTGAAGTCTCCCACCTCCTGCTGTCCTGACACTGCTCAGCTCTCCTCCCCAGCTGGAAACGCAGTCTCCTTCCTGCCTCTGCCCCATGCACGAGCCCTGCTGCCACTTGGTACCACACAAGAGCAGTCTCCATTTCTCCCCCAGCTGTACATAGCTTAATCCAGTCCTCACTGCAGCTCTTCCTGCACAGACTACTTAAGCTTGTTTTTCTTATCATTCTTCCTGCAGTCTGAAGTAAAGATGTAATCACTATAGCTGCGGTGTTATCCTCCAGAAATTACTCTGTCACAGGGAAAAGTGCAAAAATACAATTACCTGCTTTAGCTACAGTGGCTTAGACCCAGTTTTGAAGTGCTTCCTATTTTCCAAGAACAGACTGAAAACTTGTACCTATATGTATAGCAATTGGAAAGTACTTGTACATTTCCTTAAAGAAAACCCATGAAAATGACACCAGGTCTTATCTGCGAGAATTATTATATAGTATTTCCATCTCAAAAGCCTACATGTAGTTGTATCAGAAAAAAACATGACATCACCCCAAAGGTTGTTCTTATTTAACAAGCCTGAAGGAAAGACCAAGCTACACATCAATTCTTGCAAATCAAGATGTCACTGACACTGATGCAGAGATGCAACTGGAACCAAAACTTGCTGCCACTACTGCAACAAGCAACAAACGTGGAGGATCATTCAGATTTGGAAGCATAGAACAACTGAACTAGTGAGATCTAGAGAGGCTATATAACTAATATCCATTCCCCAGGCAGGATCTACTTCTCTGAATCACTCCCAAGAGATATTTGCCTAGTCTGTTTTAAACATCTCTGATGTCAGAAACACCACAACCTCCAATGGATCTATACCAGGCTTTACTCACTTTACCACTATAAACCTTTTCACATAAACTAAAATTCTCTTACTTGATGTATTTTAAGCATACAATTTCTCCTCCAATCCTTCACAGATATAGGGAAAAGGTTATTACCTTT